TGAAATGGGTCTCTTGGGGATTTTATTTTTGCAGTGGTGCCATTGCGGGGAACCCATTCCACATTGACCGGGAGCTGCTTCGCACAGGTGATTCATCATCGTCCCGCAAAATTCCATACGTTTTCCCAAAGGTTCCCTTTATTTTCATAAAAGTAAGAAAATCCAGTAAGAAAATGCGTTGCTGACAATGAGGCTGCGATACATGTTGACAAACTGGCTGTGAGGCCAAATTTCATGGCCCCACAATACTGACATAAAATTAGTAACGGAAAAACAGTGCATTTTTTGTGTGTGACCACGCTTTATCTTTTTAAATTTTCTGTTACTTTAGAGAACAGATAAAACCATTGTAAATACAAATGACATTACACCACCCTCCTTGTACAACTCAAATGTGCAAATAAACACCATACAGTACAATTTAATCTATTCTTATCTGTTTTGTTAATATTTTACATTTATTTTACTAACTTCAAACCAAACTATGTACATTCAAAATAAGAAAGATGCATATGTTTATGTTATGATTAAGAAGGAGGAGAAGTTTCAGGTTTTCTGTATCTCAACAAATTCAGACTTTAAAGGTTTAATTTAAATAACCCATCTAGAATATTTAACAAATGTGTTCATCTGTAATGTACTGTAAATGAACTTGTTAATTTTTCTGTTCTATATATTTAATTTATTAACTCAATCCAATCATTCATTGTTGGTTAATCGTGGAGAAGCCTCTTTCTTGTTATAGTCTTTTTACATGCAGATATAAGATATGCAGATACTGTATATATATCAGTACCTGTCAAGTGAAAATCCAGCTTGCTAAGATAAAAGACCTCAAACGTAAAGTGTAAATTCCTCTCGAATATATTCTCAAGGGCCCCATGTAATTCCATCCAGAAAAGCCTTATTGTGAGCGGGTTTTAAAGTCACTTTCTCCCTGAAGTTTTACTCCTGTGAAAGTGAACTGTTTAATCTCTGTTGCAGAACTGCAGTTTGATTCCATCAGTATAAACAGCATGGACGCCACCGGCCAGCGCGACTTTGTGGGTATGTGGGTCTCCTTTTCGGCTGCTGATGTTTAACAGAGCTTTCGGCAACTAACTCATCAACACTGTACTACTTTAAAATTCCAGCAGTATCCACCCCTTCCTTCCTTTCCCACCAACTTTCAAGCTGGAGAAGAGCCAGTGGTGGAGAGCAGGTGTAATAGAATATGAAACCTATACGAAGTCAAGGGCCAGTAGTTCTTACAGCATAGCGCTGCCCTTTGGATCGCACAGAGCAGCCAAGAACTGAGAGATGAGGATCTATGATCAAGGCGCTGATTCTGTGCAAGAGGATCCTGGGAATTGCAGGGGAGTGCCTACATGTGCTGACTGGGGCTAACATCCTATTCCACTTCCTCGCGCGCCTTTGCATTGCAGCAGAATTCCTGTTCTGGGCCTCCCTGTGCGCGACGCACCTGAGCAAGCTGGCTGAGGATCTCATCATTTACAGCACCAAGGAGTTCTCCTTCGTCACGCTCTCCGATGCCTACAGGTGAGCCTGGCATCCTGGAAAGGAACACAAGGTGGATCCCCAAAATTGGATTGAGGAATAGCTGGGGCGTGGCGTAAAAATGAAAAGTCATTGAAATTGGACGTTAAAATGAATCT